ACTTAAGAATTCCTGGTCTAGCTCTTCCCCTTGGTTGGGTGGTCTGTAGTAGACCCCCACTGTTAAGCCTCTTTCCCGGCAACTGCCTTGTATTCTAACCCAGAGCACTTCAGAGTGCCCCTCCTCTGACTCTTTGCTAATTGATGAGGATGTGTATTCCTCCTTAAATGTAGAGCGCCACATCCCCGCCTTTCCTCCCTGTCCTGTCCCTCCTGTACAGCCTATAGCCCTTGATATTCACCACCCAGTCATGCGTTGGATCCCACCACATTTCAGTGAGCTTCACTATGTCTGGGTTGATGTCAGCTAGCAGGAGGGTAAGTTCCTCCTGCTTGTTTCCCATACTACGAGCGTTTGTGTAGAGGCATTTGAGGCCTCCTGTGGATGTAAACACTCAGTCAAACACTCTGAGCTCAGTTCTCCATTCCCTTACACTTTGTTCAGTTGCTTCCACTGGTGCAAAGTAAATATAAAACCCTTCACTAGGTCAGAACTGTATTTGTTTATGTCCAATTTTCAAATCTGTAAATGACACAATTTGTAAGTGGCATTATCTCTAAACATTTATTGGAATTTTGGTTCCAAAGATTTTTACAACAGGGCAAATGGATGCATATGTTGAAAATGCAGAGGCTTAGGTTACATCCCAATTTTATTCTTTTTTTGCTGGAAGGCTTCTGTTTATGTTGTTTTATCCTATAGTGGAAGGACTGGCACCCGGATTTAATGAGGCCAGATATTTTTCTACCAATCCCATTTTGTTGTAATTTAGGTTGACCTGTATACCAGATTGTGTTAAGTACTTTGTGAAAAATCCATGAGGTGGACAATATCTTTCCCTATTTTACACATGTCTACTTGTTAATTGGCAACTGTAGGTCATTCCTCAAGGTGGAGACAGCACATGCATGCTGTTTATCACAAATGCACTGTGGAACTACAAATCGATGTTCCTGAAGGAAAAATTGATGCCGTTTCTTTTCCTGACAAAACTGGGACGAATGTAAACCCAATAAACAGAAAATAAACAGAAAATAAACAGAATATCAAAAGCTCAGCAATCCCAGATGGTAACTTTTAGACAGAAAACTTCCAAGAGCTAACAAAAGAATCCAGCCGGACAGTCTAACTTGAGAACAGAAGAGCAACACCATTTTAACTTATCTAACCCCATTAGGGGCCCCATTAACAACCCACAAATTAATGCGAAACCTTCAAAAGTTCAAACTCAGGAAATGTGTCTCGTATTAATAGGTGGTAGAGGCAGTGGCAGCAGTGGTAAATACAGTCACCAGTTTCCATGATGAAATCATATTTCCTGTTGTTTATAATACCAGTCCTATGCTGGCACTCTGCCAAAGGCTAAATGCTTATTAAATGTTTCAGGTAAAATTGTTCAGCCATTTTCAAAAATGAGGCTGGGAAAAATATGCTGTTCTATCCTGTAAAAAAACAAACAGATAAAACTTACAGCTGTTGTGTTGAGATGTTCTGGTGCTTTCATGTTTTAAGCAAATATTTGAAATTTGGCAGGCAATGACCTTTGTGTCAGCAATGTAGCATTTGCCACGAGCAAATTTATGCAATTTGTCCAAGTTATAAGTCTCTGAAAAATCTCAGTTCATACATGCTCAGCAGAAATTCATTAGCCCCAAAACGCCTATTGGTGCTACTCTGAGATAAGCGTCTTTCATTCTCTCCTGTTGAATGCTTTCCAGTTTGGGTCAATAAATAAAGGTTCCTGGGACCAAAGAGCAACTGACTCTCTGCTCTATTAGCTAGGGAACCAGCTGGTTGTGACCTGAGGGGCCCCAACCTTGGTCTCCCACAACCCATCACGATACTAACTTGTCTGAAGAGTCCACCTGTGCTGAGTATGCTTGTCCCCTCACAGCTCCTGAGTGCAACTGGAGTATTCAGTCCCTACTAGGGGTAGGGGAGGCACTGAACACAGGAACTGAAAGCAAGGGTGTTGTCTCTTCTCACTCAGCATTGGCTTTGCAGTTGGCAATGTGAGGGAGAAGGAAGCAACATAAGACTGAGAGGGGCCTCTCACACAATCAAGCCCAGTTCCCTGCATTTGCAGGCAACCATTTATCCAAGGAATACATTCTCTCCCCACAGACCCAACAACTACAAAGCCCTTTATGAAAACAAAATCAGAGACACACTACAACCTGCCACAGATAAAAAGGAGTGAAGACAAGGGTGACTACATTGGTAAAGAAGCATACCACCCCAACCCCCAAGCCACGTATATTGTCCCACCGCCCACCCCCAAGGCCCCAAGGAGCAGGAGCACCCTAGCCAAAATGCCATCTTTTAGGTGTGACCAATTTCCAGTGTTTCAGAAGAAATGGAAAGTGGAACCCAGAATTCAATAAACATTGATGAGGGGAAAAAAATCCTTCCTGGCCCCTGCAGGAAACCAGCAGAAGTTCTGAAGTGTGGGATTGCAGATGTGACTGGCCCAGCTGGAATGCAGAGGAGCAGAGGAATGAGGGGGTAAACGTGCAGACAAAGCTAGATTAATGCATAAGCAAACTAGGCACTTGCCTAGGGCCCTGAGCTGTGTGGGGCCTCCGTCCTTTCTTCTGCAGTGACAGGACAAAGGGCCCTATCCGCTTCCCTTCCCTTCCCCTCCTCTCCCCTTCCCTCTGCTGCTGCAGCGTCTGCTTCCTAGTGGCAGCTCTAAGCCCCACTCCTCACTGGTGCCAGCAGGGGGGAAGTCTCCCCTACATTTGTTTACCTAGGTCCCACTAAAGGGTTAACCCGGCCCTGGGTGCAGAGCTGACAACAGGGTGCTCACGCTTGTGTGAACAGTTTGGAGCAGAGGAAGTGGGACAGGGTGTTAGTGGTGAAGGCTGGTGATAGTGGCTCAGCAAGGGGTTCTTGCATTGCCAGTGTGCAGCTGGTCCCTCAGTTCAAGATTTACAGGGCTCTGGTACAGAGTGCAGATCACAGAATATGTACACATAGTAAACACATTACTATATTCTGCACCACCCATTTCTAACAATGACATCTGGCCTGCTGCACTTGTGATGTACTACACGTGAACCACATCTGACTAGATGACCCCTGGGGTCCCTTCCAACCCTACTGCTGTATAAGTCACTGACCACGTCTACACAAGACACTGACTGCACAGTTTTATTGTGCAGTCATGTAGTACTTGTATATGACAGGAAACACAGGGACAGATATGACAGGGAAAAGGAAGCAGAGAAGTAGATCAGACAAGGGAAGGGGTTTGGAGTGACACTTGGGAAGGCTATGGGTCTTTCTTCACACAAATAAGAAGAGATGGAAGGCTGTAGTTAAGGCCATTATAGGCCTCAAAGCCAAAAAGGTTGGCCTTTGCTGATCTAGTCCAACTGTCTACATAAATGCAAGATTTATTGTTTTAAACTAACCCAAATGCAGAAGATTGTACTTTTTCAGACACATCACCACTATTCCTCTTTTTGTTCTAAAATACTTTATCATAATTTAATTGCAGTTCAACAGATTTTGGTCCTCTGGCTTCGTATATGTGCTTACCATCGTGCTGCACTCACACCTCTGTACAGTTTGAGCGCAGCACTTTACAGCAAATTCTCACAATCTCCCTGTTATCATTTTATGACTCCTCCCCTCCCCACTCCCAACTCAGCAGTCCCGTAATTCCAGGATTATATTTCTGAGTCTTCAATGGGGCTGTTCAAAAATATCTTGGTGGGAGGTGATGGCAAGTCTCTATTGGAGTAGACAGTTCTCTGGCTGGGGATCCACTTTGTTTTTGAAGTAGAGTGCACTTCCCCAGTCTGAGTCTTGCCTGTTCCAAACTCAGAGTCCCAGGCTTGCCTCCGCCGCAATTTCTTGAAGGTGTTATGGAAACCCTCAGTGCTGAAGTAGTAGATAAGGGGGTCCAGAACACAATTCATGCTGGCCAACAGCACTGTGACAATAAGAACTTGGCGCACCGAGGTCTGCATGGATAGCTCGGCCTGGATCACATTGGCCTTCATCAGTCCATAGACAGCCAGAGTTGTGTTGTAGGGGACAAAGCAGATAACAAAGATTATGAGATTGACCACAAGGAGGCGGATGGTTTTCTGCTGCCGCAGACTGTTTGTCTGGCTGACCCGGCACAGCTTCAGAAAGATCCGGAATGAGCAGTATATCACAGTCATCAGTGGCAAGAGAAAGCCCAGGACTTCAGCCAGGACAACCAGCGGGAAGATGCTATTCTTCCATAGGTCATTGCTGAAGCTCTCAAAACACAGATCAGTTGTCTGATTCCTTGTCAAGCAGGAGCTTGATTTGTGGACACCTGCAACTGGAACAGAGCCCATGAGGATGAGTACCCAGACCACCAGGCAGAGCAGCCGGGCCACTTTGGGGCGCCGCAGGTGGCGCCAGCGGAGTGGGTGGACAATGGCAATATAGCGGTCTAGGTTGATGCACATGAGGAAGAGGCAGCTGCCATACATGTTGATCTGGAAGAGGGAGCCAGAGACCTGGCAAAGAAAGTTGCCAAAGAGCCAGCGTTGGTTGGAGTAATAGTAGAGCCGCAGTGGCAGGGATAATGTGAAGAGCAAGTCACTTATTGCCAAGTTGAACATGTAGATACTCACTACAGATTTGAGGCGCAGGTAGCGCAAGAAGATCCAGAGTGCCGTGACATTGAGCATCATGCCTGCCACAAAGATCAGGCTGTACCCAACCAGGTGCAGCCGGTGGTTGGCACTGTAATCCTTGCACAACTGTCTTTCCATTGCCTCCTGGGCAACTCATGTGCCCAGGAGGGCACCAGGAAAAGGTCTCAGTGATGTGGTGTAGGCAGCTGATAGACAAAGGTGGTACAATGAGGACTGCAGAGGGAGATTATTCTTCTCAGGCGTGCAGGAGGCAGGTCATTTCCTTGGTCCACTACTGGGAAGTATGGGTGTGTTTCTTTTCAACCCGTGGTTCAGTGGATCACTTGGTATGGGTGACCAGGAAGTTCCTTATTACTGGCTGTCTTACCAATCCTTTCCAGCAGGTACAGTGATGCAGCTGGGTTGTTGAATCCTTGCTAGTTGTGCAATTCCTGATCAGAACAGAAGATCAATACGGGTGAGTTTAGTTTACAGGGGAACTCTACAGCACAGGGATGTCAAATATATGGCCTGCATCCAGCCTATGGAGCCTCTCTACCTGGCCTGCCTTATGGCTAGGAAGAGTGGCTTGCCACAGAATCCAGGGCCCTTGGACCCCAGGGGACATGGCAAACAGCGGCAGGAGGGTGAGCGAGGCAGACACAACCCCAGTTACCCTCTGGTCCTTTCACCTGTCTGCACAGCTGCCGCCCTACCTCCCTGGCTACTGGCTTCTGACACATGCCCTGTTGCTGCCATGACATAGGGCATGTGGCAGTGGCAGCCGTTCTAGCAACTCTAGTATGGGACATGTGGTGATAGTGGCAGCTTGAGCTCCAGCATAGGGCACATGGTGGGGATTGGAACCACTGCTGCACGACCTGGGTTGGAGCTAGAGCTGCTGCTGCTGCTGCCACAAGATTCGGATCTGAGCTGAAGATTGCTGCTGCCAGAGCTTTCTTATAACCCAGGCTTTCAAGGAGACATGCAGTCTGAATACAGCCCACAAGAAGACTCACAGTCCAGATCCAGCCTGGAGCACAAGGCAAGTTTGACACCCCTGCTATAGGGGTAAACATTCCAGGGTGGTGGCTTCTCTCCTTAGAGCTCATTTAGAGAAACAAAAGAAATGTAAAATATATACAGTGGGAAAGAAAGAGGGATGGAGGAGCTGACAGGACAAAAAGGTAATGGAGAAGAGGTTAAATGATTCCCAGTGCCTGGGATGAATGCCCTGCTAACTCACCCCTAGTTACACTACTGGACCCTAGATATGACCTAAGTGGTTGGTAAAAATCTGTAATAACACAACTGCCTGTAGTGGTACAACAGACGGTTTGAAGCTCCTGGAAGCCTTTACTATAGGAACACCCATGTGCTTCTGTCCTCGTTGCTCCAAATGTTTCGGAGAGAAGAACATAAAAGGTGCAGAGCACAATACACATTTCTGTGATACAGCGGCTGGGGCAGAAGCATGTGCTAGGTTGTGAGCTGAGGGCCTCAGGCACTGCTGAAAGAAAAACAGAACTCCTCTCTGCCCCAGCTACACATGCTGCTGCCCATGCAGCCCTCAAAGCAACACTGCATCTCTGGGAGCTTGTAAATACTGCCTCTCCCTGCACATCATGGACAAGTTTGCATGGTGTTTTCACTACAGTCCCCACTTGGATATTTATTCCCTTTCTGCCTGTGTCAGTTCTGTAATACTGTCATGGGAGGAGGGCTTCTGTTGTACATCCGTGTGTGACAGTCTGTGTGTTAGTGCAATGCAAACAAGGGCCATGAGCGACTGGTTGTGTCAGTGCCCAACTAGTATCTGACTCTGATGGGGAAGCTGTCACTTGGCTGGAAACTGCTTTAACTTTTTCTTCTGATTGGCCTGGTTCCCCATTTCCCTCCTAACACTATAATTAAAACATATATATATAAAATAAAACAAGAACAAAGTGTTGGGAAGAGACTGGCCTGAGTGTTGAAATATATTTAAAAAAGATAAAAAAACCCTTCTAACTGTGAGGGTGGTCAGGCATTGGAACAGACTACCTAGAGAAGCTGTTCATCCTGAGAAACTGGAGAAATTTCTATCCTTAGAAACTTTTAAAAGCAAGACAGACAGTTGGCTGGGATGATCCTGCCTTGAGCAGGGGGCTGGATTAGATGACCTTATGAGATCCCTTCCAGTTATAATTTCCTGTGATCCTTTGAGCTCAGTAACTTCTCTCTGAAGCTCATAATCTGTGATAGATAGGGTAACCATATATCCTGGATTGGCTGGGACAGTCCTGGATTTCAGAGGCCAGTCCCAGCTGCCTGGTGAAAATTAAAACAAGTGTCCTGGGTGCAGGGCTTTGGGCCTGGAGGCAGAGCAGGAGGAGCTGTGAAATAAGAAGAACAGCTGGAATTCTTCTAGGTGCTTGCATGGTGCTCACATGTGCACACAGCTCCCACTGTAGGTCAGTGTGTCCACCAATGTGCACAACCTTGAAATCTTTTAACCCTCAGTATCTGTAGAGACAGCCTGCCTACAGTCACCATTCCATTCCTTCACCAGTGCAGGACATCCAGGGTAAGGGCTATAGCCACATTAGTAGGGAAGGAAGTCAGGTCACAGGATCTCCGTGGAGGAAAGAATGTCTCCAGCTACTGTATGGTAAGTACCCCCTCTTACTTCAGTCAGCCCCCAACTTGTGAGTTCACTGAATTCTGCTACCTTAGGTGACCTGTCAAGTTGTTCAGGGCACCTGGCAAAGAAAGGCTGTGAGGTTTAATCAAGGAACAATGCTCAATTCCCACAGAAGAATCGCTTCCTAGGGGAAAAAATTGTGTTCTCCTCACTTTGCACAGTGTACTGCTGTTGTATTGTCTGGCAGGTGGTGCCCCAAGTAAGGGCTAGGGACATTTCAAACTCACAGCTGCTTGCCCCACCTACCAATACCTTTAGTGTTAGTTTTGTGACACAGCCCAAGATCACATATCCTGTGTCCAGAGATTATCCAAAGGAGTGACCTGGTCCTGTTACAAGAGCCTGGGGATGGGGAGAAGGAGAAAGGAAATAAATAAAATACTAAAACACCTTTATGGGCATTTGGAGGATCTGTTCTCTAACAAAAGATACCAGTACTCAGAGCTGGCCTTAGGGGTGGGCAGCATGGGCAACAGCTCAGGATGCAGTGGTCAGGGGGTGCTGGCAGCATGGTACAGGTCTGTAAGTAGAGGCAGGGTCCGGGTGGCACAGTGCAACTCTAGTATTACTGTTTAGGCAGCTAAAGGAGCTAAGGGAGATGATTGTTAGCCCCTGTGAATTAAAAATAATGGGTCATTAGCAGCCTGAATCATAAAA